GCTTTTGCATCCCTATCTTTGGCTGGCGCTGTTGTTCTCACAGGTGGATTATAAAGAACTCAGCACCCAAAATGAGAGAGAGCTATCACTTTCTGAATAAAACATTTTTCCTTTGCATCAGGAATCTTTGAAACTATTATATCTAAGACTAAGTCAGAATAGATTCTGAGGTAGGTTTTTTGTGGTGGTTGTTTTAAACTATGATATAGCTTTGGGTGGGGCACCATAAAAGAATTTGAGTGGCTAGGAATTTTTATATTTATTTTTTAACTTTACAAAATAGTGTAAAATAAGCAACCTTTACATAACATAATAATTGATTAAGTGCCAATTTATAGCACCTAGAGCAATATAAATGGGAGCTCAGCAAATATTTTCTGATTTGAGCTAAGGATTATGATGTAATTCAACTATGATTCTACAATAGGAAAACATAATTTTCTTTTCGTAATATTGCTTTATAATGTTACACAAGACGATATAATGTTTTATAATGTCATAGTTTTGCTCATATTAAATTAACTTATATTTTCTAGAAAAACCCATAATGTTTTAAATACTAACCATGTGAATCATGATTATAGTTGCTATTATTTGCCTGTTCTGATTATTCTAACAAATTAAATTAGACTCAGAGAAGAAAGGATTCCATCGCCCTCTTGTGGTAATTTGCTATACTGTGTTCTCCAGGAGTTCCACATCAATAGGAATTTTTTCTTCTCACTTGAAGAGGCAGGGCAGTTTTTTGACCATAAATTTCTGAACTTCCAAAAGCCATATATATACTTTCCGCCTTCTGCTGTCCATATACTTTGTGCCTTCCCTTCTATCTCTACTTCAGAAATTTAGTCTTTTCCTTGTTATTTTATAAAACATTCTCCTGTTAGCTTCCAGTTACCACACCAAAGGGATTTTTTCTGACAGTTACTTTCTGTATTTAAATTCAGACACAAAATAATTACAGCAAGTCTCCATCATCATACACAGGCTTTAAGTAAATACACATAACTCAACATCTATGGGGCTGAGCTTCAGCAGTGCTTGTTTTCCTAAGAGAACGGGTCCTGCTAAGTCAATTAATAATCCAGATAGTTCAGGGATTAGTGATATTTGTCTGAATATTTTAAGTTTTTAAAAACAATAAAATAGTCTTTCTTTTAAAACAGTCTAGATCATATGCAATGGCCTAACCTCTTTCCAGCACAACACAAATACTTTTAGGCTTCTTTGCAAAATTAGCAACATGTAACATCTGCTACTATGAAATAAACTGTATAAATGATTAGTTCTTTTTTAAAGAGAATTTATTTATAATAAAGGAATTTATTGAGTGTCTAATACATTTAAACACTGGAAAATAGAGAAATAAAGATGGATTCCTAATTAACTAAAATCCACTTTACAAATGTCAAAAATACTCCTAAATGATCAATTCTTAAAACTTATCACGTTTTGAAAGGAGCCCCTTGTGTATTCAATCAACAGTCATCCCAAAACTGATGAGGAAAGACTAGAACTAGGTACCTTTACCTAGTGCACTCTACACAGAGGCACAAGAGCTTTTGAAAGCAAGGTAATATGGCATGTCTCAGAAACTGAAGATGGTTTAGTGCAACCAAGCACAGGCTGTAACTTGGGCAGAAGCAAGGGATGAGGTTGAGAAGTTAGCAGGGGCCAAAGTACAAAAGGTCTGAAATGATATATTAAGGACGGTGAGAGACAGTAAAGCATCCATTCACAGGGGGGTGACATGGCAAATCAGGGTTTTAGAAAGATCACTTGCTGAAGTATGGAGGACAGACTGAAGGAGTGAGAAGGAGACGTGGAGATTGGTCAGAAATCATCTGTAATGGACGGGGCCTGAAGCAAGGCAATGGTTCTGATGACAGAGGAAAGAAATCTGAGAAACAGTGAGAAGTGAAATCATTAGGTGTTAGTTACTGTGTGAGAGAGTGAGTGTTGGGCGTGGGGGGGGATCTAAAATTTACATTCTAGCTTTGGTGACTGAGTGCACGTCCTATTCCCAGAGACAGGACATGGTCATTTCAGACATGCTGCGTCTGAGGTGCCACCAGGAGACAGCAAATAGGTCAATGGTTCGAGGATAGGGAATTTGGGAGAGAAAACTGTAAATTGTTGTCGGTTGGCTAGTAAAAGGAACCTGGATAAAATCACCCAGGGAAGAGTATAAAGAAGAGATGAGGGCTGAGTTTGGGATTGGCAACATTTAAGTATAATCCCATCTTCCTGTTAGAAGAGGTACTTTTGTTATATAATCACAAACTTTGCTCATGTTGGGAGAAACAGGAAATGATTTAGTCTCCCTTCATTTTGCAGATCAGAAAACTGAGGGTCAAAGAGGTTAAATGACTCCATTTCAAGCTATTTATTTGTAGAAGTGAATGAGAACTCAGGTTTCCAGATTGCGGCCACGTTGTTCCATCCTCCCATTCAAAGGCTCTCTTTCTAGTACTGTGTCCTTCTTCCCCTGCTGCTTCATAAATCGTCAAAGAACAATAGTTAAAAGATGCTTTCTCCGATAATTGTTCGATGGCAACAAATGTTTCTGTTGCAAAGTGTTGTATTTCCAGGGATAACCTTCCAACAATAGAGTCTGTTACGAAACAGAACCCTGAATTTACAATTCAACACATGCTTTCTGAGTAATCTGGGAAACAAGGAAATGTCCAATTCTGCAGTTATGAATAGCAAACGGTAATTGTATCAAACACACACAGAGAATGTTCGGGAGACAATTCAGAGGGAAAAATAGCTATAGCTCTTCTTTACAGTCCTTTCTAAATCTTAGATGGTTGAGAATGGGTTTTACCAGTGAATTCTATCATATATCCAGTACGTGTTTTCATAATTATACTCGCTTAAGAAAAGCAAGAGATTTCTTTGGATTACCTGCTTGGTTTGGCCGTTGCCAGCTTGGCGACTTGATAACGCTGGTGGATCCCAGAGGCTTGAAGGCGGCAGCAGTTGTGAGGCCGGCCACTGCTGCTCTGCCCAGGGCTGGGCCTTCTACGCTCTCGGGCATGTTCCGCAATGAAGCCACCGAGGAAGAAGCCACTTGTGGAGAAGCCTCCTCAGGGCTACTGTAAAGAAAATAAAGAAACATTTTTGATGAAGTGGTATTAATCTAACTTAGCAATGATCTAAAATCATGACTGAACGAAAGGAAAGGAAAGCTGTCAGACTGCATTTGTTCTATTAAATATATTTTTGGAAATGCTACCTTGAGAAACTGGCCTATTAAAAATCTTATGATAGCCGATCTCTTTAACTGATAAACTAATTTCCCCTTCCTATTCCTCTCTGTCTCAGCATTTCAAAAGAGCCATCTAGATTAAGACAATAAATGATCGGAGAATTCCTGATATAGCATAGGTGTTTCGCCTTTCCCACATTTTTCTAGTATTTTATGAACTTAATTTCCCTGACATCTCACAAGTTACTCTTTTTACTCACAAACTTACTCATTCAACAAATATTTAAGCACCTATGATATGCCAGACATTGTGCTATGCCCCAATCAGTGACAAATAAGAGACAACGTCCCTCGCCTAAAAGAACGTCCAGTGTTCTGTGTTCGTAACAACAGGACAAAAGACACAAGCCTACCATTATCTTCTCTCAACAGAGCTATGTGCTTAACAGGAGGCCTCTGTCTGTGCTGGTTCCAGTTTGTTTAGAAGATCATATGGCCTATATTACCATTTGTTGAACAAATAACATTTGTTACTTATAATTATATATACATCATTTCCCCCCCTCCAAAAATAATTTGAGTTAGCCCAAACTATAAAATACATGCTTTGGAATGATACAATACTGGAGCAGCAGTTATTTCTATCAAGTGAAGTATGACATTGTAATAACAACAAAACACTTCCTACTACTTAACTTTTCAATACTGGTTGCTCAAATAATTCCATGTACAGAAACCCAATTCTTTCAATAACTGGAATCAACAGCTGGAGGAATAGACTGACAGAGATTGGGTACTATACTTATGACTTCAGTGAAATTAATACTCTTAATTATATTGTTTAAGTAGAGATTATTTCAATGAAAAGAAACTTCAAAGTCTAGCATGTCCACATACTGAACAAGAGCACCTAACTTCCCCAGTGCCTCTTGAATCTCAGGTAACACCTAACATAGTAGCCTCAGACTGCCCATCCTTAGAAGGCCTGCTTGCAATGCTGGCCCTTGGCAAACTGTTCCCAGTGACATAAAACTTTCTCTAACTGAAACAGTGACTCACTGTGCCTAAACTCTTTGCATAAACAATGTGGTTTATGCTGAACACCTGCTTTCCTTCCAAGAGTCCAGGATTTTGGTACAAACTGGGCACAGGGTACCTACGTAACAAGCCCCTAATAAAAGCCTTGGGTACTTAGTCTCTAATGACCCTCTCTGGTAGACGACACTTTGCACATTTTGACATAACGTGCTGTAGGAGGAATTAAGGATGTTGTGTGTGACTCCACCAGGAAAGGATTCTTGGAAACTTGAGCCTCGTTTCTTCCAGATTTCATCCCATGCATCCTTTGCTGATTTTGCTTTGTATTCTTGTGTTGTAATAAATCTTAATCATGAGTACAACTATATGTGCATGAGTACAACTATATGTCTTGAGTCCTGTAAGTTTTTCTAGTGAAACATCAAACCTGGAAGTGGTTTTGAGGCACCTCTGACACTAAACAGTTTTGAAAAACTGCACTAACGATATGTTTACTTTCTTGAAATATTGTTCCCTATTCTTCTCTCAAATTCAAGTACAACAGAGTCATCACCTTTTATTATTTCTAATCAGTTTTTAAAAAAAACCTAAGACTTGCTTGATGTTAAAACATACTATACAATGAAAAATTTATGTAATTTAATAATTTTTACCATAAATAAAGAGTGAAAGGCTGCTTACATAATGGGAATGTTGAACACAATTATCAATAAAGGCAATACAACGAAAAGCATTAGTGGAAACAGAGTTCAAACATTATAGTACAGTGGCCATGAGCATCTTTTAAAAGCTTTGTGATAGACAAATTATTTTATTTCTCTAAGTCTCAATTACCTAAACCTTGGTGATAATATTTTGTTCATAAGATTTCTATGAGGCATAAATAAAGTGATTAAGTATAAAGAGCTTAGCATACTCTAAGGCATAGTATATGAGTTTAACATATGAAAAGGATAATATGGTCAAATAACAAAAGGCTTATTTTTAATATTTTTACAAAGAAGTGATTTTTGAAATACTTATGTACAGGTCATTTTCATTCTAGGATTAAGTATTCTTGTGGATTTGATAAAAAGGAACTAGTAGTCTAAGAAGAAAATGTATAACCAAACAAAAATATAATCTGGAAATAACAACAAAACCCAAACGATCATCATTTAATGTTTAGTAATCTGAAAGAATTAAAATTTAATTCCAGGAGGGTTGCCAGACAAATTTACTTAGAAGAGAGTGATCAGGATGGTGGAAATTCAGTCCCAAACTTAATAAAGTTTGGTTGAGGGAACTGGTAATACTGGCCCAGGGTCTGAACAAACCCCTAAGAGAACCATGAGAGCCACCCTCAAATCTCATATTCTGTTTGCCTAATGTCAATGAGTTGAATCTACAGTGAGACAGATTTGGTTCAGTAAAAGCAAGTAAGTATTTCCTAATATATATATATTAAAAAAAATCATCCCAAGGGGGAAAAAAATCTGTTCCTAACACATTTAAGTTGCAGACGGTATTTAAGCAGAGGATGGAAATGCTGTAGAATGGATTTAACCATTTAGAGGATGGAGAGCTGAATTATACTTCAGCATGACATTCAAAGCCTTCTAAGAGAAAGCTACAATCTACCAATCTAGTCTTATCTCCTATCACTATGCTATACAAACTATATTCTGGCTTCCCCTACTCTCTGCCCACAATTCTATTTTTCCAGGAGAGGGGGGTCTACATAGTAGGTACCCCTTCTCCAACCTCTGTCTGCACCCATCCAAATCTTATCTATCATTAATTATATTTGAATTAACAATAATATCCATCAGGCACTGTGTTCCATGCTAAGCAATTAACATATGTTGTTTAATTACTCAGCTTCTAGAAGTACAGACACTCCTTTTAACTCATGGCATTTGTTGAGTGCATGGCATATAATTTTATGCTGACTTGTAACAGCCATTTTTAAAGCATTACTAATAGTAACTTCTTTATGTACTTGTCTTTTCCACTACATTGTAAACTACCCAAGGTTGGAGACTTTAATGTGACCTTGGGTTTGTTACTTAAACTCAGTAAATTTCCTCACTTGTAAAATGGTGTAAAAACACTACCTTTATTCCAAGGTTACTGTAAGAATTAAATGAAGTATGAGATAATACATGTAAAGCACTTAGCACAGTGCGCGGCACAGAGTATATGCTCAAGAAATGAAAGGGCTCACTATTTCTACATCCTGTAATATCTAGCCTGGCGTATTAGTAATAAGTGCACTAACTAAATAAACACCTCTCATCTGTGCTAATAATTTTGCTTCTAAATGTAGTTTGTGAATAGTTTGGGTCCAGGACACTGATCCCAGACACAATCTTGCCTCCTCAACTCAATTTTAAATTTCTTAAAATTCCCATGTAAAAATATTTTGTTACTGTACCCTTTGCACACAGGCTTGTATACATTCTCTCTCAAAAGCCCTGAGGTGTTTAAATCTTAAACAGTACTCTTTAGATACAAAGGGCTTGGAGTAGATTATGAAGAATTTATAGGCCAAGCACAGTGGCTCATGTCTGTAATCCCAGCACTTTGGGAGGCCGAGGTGGGAGGATTGCTTGAGGCCAGAAGTTTGAGACCAACCTGGGCAACAGAGCAAGACTGCATCTCTACAAAAAAGGTTTAAAAAATTAGCTGGACACGGTGGCGCATACCTGCAGTCTTAGCTACTCAGGAGGATCTCTTGAACCCAGGAGTTCGAGGTTACAGTGAGCTATGATTGTGCCACTGCACTCCAGCCTGGGTGACAGGGCATGACTCTGTCTCTATAAATAAATAAATAACTAAATAAGAATTTATATAAATCTAAGTTATAAGCAAGAAAGTTTTTCCATTTATGTTTAAATTCAGGATTAATCTGAAGTTCAGTTTTCTCTAGGGAAATAAATCAGTATTTACTTAAAACGTTTAATGTAGTAACGGAAGGCTATTAGGCTTTATCTAGGTAATCATATATCTGAATATGTGATGCCCAAGCCTCTAAAGATCTAACATATCTTTTTTTTTCTATTTTTTAACTATTAGCTACTATTAATATTTAAAGAAAACACATAAACATTAGGTGTCATGTACTAAAGATGAAAGGATTAACATATCTTTTTTTTTCTAATTTTTAACTATTAGCTACTATTAATATTTAAAGAAAACACATAAACATTAGGTGTCATGTACTAAAGATGAAAGGATTAATAAACTTATGGCCATATTATTTTACATTTGGGAATGAAATGTTATCAATAATCACTAGCAGTAAAATATTCTAAAATTCTAATGACTAATTTAATAATATAGTATACCATTGTTACTTACATGCAATTACGATCTTATTTCTGAACTCATGAGTCAAATATATTTTTTCTAAATTCAAATAATTAAAGGTATCCCTAAGTTCTAAACAAAAATTAAAATGCTCTCAAAAGAATTCTAATGAGGAAGTTACTGTAAATCCATCAATACCCTCGGCTAATCCCATAGATGCTGAGAACCAAATATGGTCATTTTCGCTAGTCTGCCAAGTAAACAAGGACTGAAATGAAATAATAAATTAATATGACTTCTATCTCAAGAATACCAAGATTTCTGTTTCATATCTCAAAAACTGAAAATAGAGACAAAACATCAATAGAGTAAGGGTTTCTTTTCAAAACAAAGCTTATCAGGGAAAAAAGAAAAAGGAACAAAAATTAACTTTCAGTGTCAACAACCTAATTTATCTTGAGTTTACATTCCTTTCCCACATTTGTTTAACTATCACAGCAAATAAAGTTCAGCTACAGATTAAGAACACTTGGAAATTCTAAGTCTATTTTCAAAAGA